TCCAAGTATTTGAGTTGGTTTAATAAAAGTTATTGGATTTACTCAAAATTATGACCTTCCTGAGGGATTAATAGAGTGGTGGGGAGGGTCAGCCTGATATTGTTTTCACCTTCTAGGTACAAGCTCTTGGGCAGCTAAAGATGCTGGAGGTCAGCGCTGCATTCATTCTAATGTTTGTTGCATATTTTCTAGGCTGGATGCTGAATAATAATATCCCCTGACTTTGCTTTTGCTCCTGTTCCCTCCTTTCCCACTGTGGTAGACTGTGTAGTAATGGGATCCAAGTGGGAAATTTATACTCACTGAGCAGATTTTTTTAGGAGTTCAGGTTTTGAATGTGCCTCTTTCAGGTTTAACATTAAGAAGTTTTGTAGCATTTCAGAATGGGTTTTATTTTCCTCTAGCTGTTTCTTTTTTCCATAGTCCACTCTTACAATTCTACCTTCTTCTTCCCCCAGCAAATATTTTCCGTACCCTTAGTTGGAAAGTGGGGTTTCTGTGTTGGGGTTTTGGGGTGGGGAGGCTGTTTTTTCATTCCTGATCAGTTCATGGACCATAAATGTGAGCGGTCTCTTGTCCTAAAGAATCTAGCTGGGCTGCATTCCAGCATTCAGAAGGGACCTCCTGGCCAGAATCTGGCCCAGATATTAGTTAGAAACACGACAGCTCTAAATTCCCAGGCCTGGCTTTTCCAATGCCAGTAGTGGGATTTTTTTTCCTCTTCTTTTCTTTCTGCAGTGCTGCCTGGGAACTCAGGCTCACATTTTACCCATGACCTGACTTTCCAGTGCTAAGAATAGCAACCACAGTGTAACATGGGTTCACTCTCACTGGAAAGAGACTGCAGCTGGGAAAGAGAGAGGTCAGATTAGCCTGTGCTTGTGAAATAACAGGAGCATGAGGGCTCCTATTTAGGGGGTTGGGAGTCTTCTGGTTCTGAAAACTGAAGAAAAAAAGGGTTCATATAGCTAAGACCTGACCTTGGCAAAGGTATTTTGCCAGTCCTGAAGCAATAACTGTAAATCTTTGCTGAAGATATTACATCATAATAGAGGCAGACAGACAAAAGCTCAGCAGCCAGGTTGATTAACATCTTTCTAAAAAGGATGCTGTGCCTTATTCCCCTTACCACCAAAATTCATCAGAGATCTGAGGGCACTTAGTGGGGGCTGGTGTTTCCTGCACAACCGAAGGCAAACTGGAACACTGGAAGTTGCACTCAGAGTTTGCCAGAAAAATGAAGGTGCGATTGTAACATGTGCCAGCATCATTTATGAATCATATGCCACTATAATACAGTATACACAACTATAATTGGGAATACACAGCAGCATAGGATTTAACCCATGTAACCAGAGTATGTAGCCAGGGACCCAGTAGGGTTTATTCTGTGATCGCTATCACATGCTAAAGCCTGTACCATTTTATCTTCCTTGCTATTGTTGTCCAGGCTAACTAATAAATATGCTAGCACTTGCTACTATCCCACCATCATTTTGCTGTCTAGATATACCCTCAGAGTCATTTGACAGTATAGGTAGAAGAGCATAGTGTATTTGACTCAAAGCATGCTGAACTAAGAACCCTGTTCATTGGGTATGAAGAGGCAACAGGCTTATTCTCAGAAGAAGCCTAAATTAGAGCACCAGCTACCATCCCCTTTGCCGAGAGCTTCAGTCTACCTCCCTGACTAAGGCACTATCAATAAAAACTGTTTGACTAAGTGGTGCCTTGCAAATCCGCACAGGGCATCTGAGTAAAGAACAAAACATGGCAACCAGTGAGTTATAAACACTCCTCCTAATATATCTCCAGTGTTTACTACTCCCCTTATTCTGTTCTTAAATGACATAGTCTTTTTTAGCCCCTGCACAGACCATTAATAGCCAGAATCTGGACCCAGTGGTTCTGTGCACAGTTGCCGCAGGGAAACAATACCTGGAGAGAACCAAGTATCACCTTTTCTGTACCTGTCCCCAAAAGTAACTCAACCAAAGCAAATCAGATTGGGGAAAAGGCCTAGGTTGCTAGGAAGAGGGTGTTTCTGACACTTGAAGGAACCCTTCAGCCCTTATACACCTTTCACTTCACCTCCTTACATATCTCTGAGAATTGGGCCTGTGATATCTGAGAGTAGGGGACTTGAGCAGGGTGCTCCGTGTGGCTGCAGGAGGCCTGCCTATGTGAGTCAGGGCTGCAAGAACTTTCCCTCAGCTTCGAAAGCAGCACGTAGATTTAAGCGCAAAACCACTTGAGGTATCAGGGTTGTAATTCTAATGGTAATTTTGAACTGTTTTTGTCTGTCTAACATTCCTTTTTAATCCCCATCCTGCCTGCCCCTTCCTTATGTAGGGTTACTTTAGTGATCCTTGGAATGTTTTTGACTTCCTCATCGTAATTGGCAGCATTATAGACGTCATTCTCAGTGAAACTAATGTGAGTATTACTCTACCCTTCCCAGGATACCACCACCTCCTCCTCCTCTGTTTCCTTCTCTCTCTTTTTTTTCTGGTTTTTTTTCCCTCTAGTCATGCTTTTATTGAACTTGCCGTCGTCCTTCTCCTTCTCCCAGGGAAAAAAAAGGAGGAGGGCCGCCTCCTTCTTTTTCACTTGTCATAGCACCCCCCCTTGCTGTGACTGGTGAAAGCGCACAGAATTTGGGGGGGGTGTGCTTTTTTTTCCCCTCCAAAAGGTAGACATGTTTGAGTGTAACTTTCTGACTAACCAGGCTTTTGTTGATACCCTCCATCATGTGAACCGTTACAGAGGTTTGAGCAGCCAGTACTGTGTGGTAGAGTGGTAAGAGATTATTTAATATGCCCACGTAACCTCTTTCTTTTCTTATTTTTTTTCTCTTCTCTCCCTCTTTCATGCTTTTTTTGTTTTATTTTTTTTTGTTGTTTTCTTTTGTTTTTGTTGTTTTTTTTTACTTTTTTTTTTCCTATTTCTCTCTTTTTCTTCTCTCTCTTTTTTTTTTTCTCTCTCTCCTTCCTCGGCTTCTCTGCCACATGCAGCACTATTTCTGTGATGCATGGAATACATTTGACGCCTTGATTGTTGTGGGTAGCATTGTTGATATAGCAATCACCGAGGTGAACGTAAGTAGCTGGCGTCTGTCCATGATCGTGCCTGCTCTAACATTCATTTGTCTTTCCCATTTATTTATGTTTATTTCTCCCCCTCCCCTTTTTATTCTGTTTTAAGGATTGTTTTTCGTTGGTTGAAACTTTCTCTTTTGTTTTGTTCTGCTTTTACTTTTGGAACGACTTAAAGGACTTTTTGACTGTTGCATCATTTTTTTTCCCCCCTCATAATCAGCCTGGCATGATTGAAACTGTATAGCAGGAAAAGTAAATGGGATTTGTGGAGTGTAAGTAAAAGAAATTTTTGTGCCATGGGAAGCTGCTGGAGAAGTCCCACATCCAAGGCTCTGGCCTGCCCAGCATTGCATTTGGCTTCCCAGGACATTTCAACACACTCCACCCCACAGAGATCTAAAGATCAGTTCTTTCGAGGTGGAACTGAGGGAACCAAATAGAGAATATTCTCAGTACCCTCCCCACTGCTTTTCCTCAAAAAAAAATATTCATTAACCCAATATTCACAAAGAAATTCATCCCCAGTGTTTAATTTTCCTTTGAAACCAGTAGACTGAATTAAACAACATCCTTAGGCATGGGCACGTCTTAGTTCAGTTCCTATTCGGTGTAGAGCACCACTAGACTTGACACAAATTATTACCACTGGTGGTGGTCTCATCAGACAGGCCCAGGGTAGAATCGACTGTGAAGACTGAAATAAATTGTATGAATGTATATAAGAAATGTATTGTTTCAGGCAAAATTGATTATTTTTGTTACCTTATTTTGGTGAGATAGAGAATAATGGAATTAGAGAGAGGAAAAATTAGGAGGAGGTCAAGTCTGAAGTAAGCATTTGTTTATTTGAGCCAGCTCCTGATGAAATCAATACAAACCCTGAGTTGTTTTCAGTGAGAACACAATCTCAATAAATTTTACTTGGTAGCTTAAATCAAAATGGCTTAGACAGGATACAGTCAAGGGGATTGAAAACTGGCTGAAAGACTTTAAAAACAGCAGTGTATCAAGATGGGAAGAGGTCCGTAGGTTCTGTTCATTTTCTACCTTAGTTAATTTCTTTCTTAATTATCTGAAAGAAGGAGAAAGTAATAGATTAATCAAGTGCACAGGTATTAAAACTTTAATGGAAAATGTTGCATCTTATCCAGAAGGCCAAATGCAAGTAAGATACCAAAAACAGCAAGACAAAAGATCCAGAATACAATAAAAAATAACAAAATGAGATTCAGTTTAGAGAAACCTGGCAAGCAGAGAAGCTGAAGGAGACAAACAGCAAAGGCAGTAATAGTAGACAGCAAATGGGTGTGAATTTTCAAAGGAATGTGGCAGCAGAAAAAGTCACATCAGTTTTCAGCTTCTGTGCCTTTGGGGGTATCACATCAGAAACAGAGAGCTATAGTCTGCTATAGGTGGACAAAAATGTTAAATTAAACTTTTTTAGAAAAAAAGATTTGGCAACTCCAACATGTTTCACAAATTTGTGTCAATTCCATCAAAATTTTGGGTAGGGGAAAAAATCTTAAATATTCTGAAAAATTAAAATGTCACTTTAATCTTTTTAAAACAAAATATTTCCATTTTTTGGTTCAAAATGACTTTCATAGAGGCTTCCCTTCAATTTTACTTGTTCAAATTAAAAGATGTTGAAAATAGTCAAAACTGATGTACCTTGGTTGTTTTGTACCAAAATTATTCCTTTCACTTTTGATTTGCTGAAATTTATTTTTTAACTGAAAAGGAAATCTCCTTCCAACTTTTCAAAATTACCCATAGACTGAAAAGTCTATACAGCACTGCTGTGACTTTCCTTGGCATATTCTAGAAAGCGTTGGGTATCCAAATCCCAGAGAGAGACTGATTGGACGGAGTTCATAAAAGGCTGGTTAACTTCATCAAGACATTTTAAGAAAAATATGTTTTACTGTCATTCCTAGGAGTTTATGATGCTCTCCCCAGGTGGGGTTAGTTTTATGCTCTCCCCAAGCGGAGATGCATTGTCAGGATGTGGTGAGGAAGCTTGTACACTTCATATTCACGGTGTACCCATTTTCTGTATAATTTTCTTTATAAACAGAAGTCTTCAGTCTCCTGGCTGTCAGTATGGTATGTTTTATTACCACTGAATGAAAAAGGGAAGGAGAAACTGAACAAGACCCTCTCTCTTCTAAATCCAAATTTATTTCCATTTTCTATCAAGCTCCTAAATCTGTTCAGTTTTATTTCAGAATATACCGAAATGTTTGAAAAATAGCGTGCCTTTGGACAATATCTGTCCAACTGAATAATTGTCTCTCTCAGTTGATAAGGCAACAGGGGACAGTCCTTATTCCCTGAAGAGAAAATAATGATGGAATTTCATGATGGTCCCTCTGTCCCTTCTAAAGAATTCCTTCCTACTATACAGTTCTTATAGATTTCTGCACAAGTCTTTTTGTTACCTGGCATGTTTAAATCTTCTCTTTTTATCTAGGCAAGTCCTTTGCTATAAGTTCCTAATGTTTGTTACTAAAAATTTAATCCGTTTTTGCACAATCTTTTGTTGCACTGATAAATGAGCAGCAGCTAAGGAAAGAGTTTGTTTCTGAAATGTGTTGAAATCCCTTTGCACTTACTGAATAAGAGAATGTATTGTCTGTCGGCTTGTCCTGTCAGATTCCTTTCCTGCTAGCACTACCTGGTATGCTACACCTCTAGTAGATGGGCATTAGAAATAGCAACCCATTTCAGACAGGCAGGTATCATCGTCCTGATTAACATGAGGCAGCTTATCAGGTGCATTCCTTCCCTACTGCACAGGAGCTTGTTGCTTTCTCACTCTTTGTGAGTCTGAGCAAATCTGCCTTGCATGTCTGTACACTGTCTTGTCTTTTTTGAATAGGCATGGAGTTGAGGGGAAAAAACCCACAAGATCTTTTTCAGGTCACTGAGGTTCAGCTGAGGTGCTTTTGCCCATCTCATTAGGAACTGACCCAGCTTAGTTTGTGTGAGGATCTCAGAAGGTGCTTCACAAAGCCTAATGATAGTAGGTCATTTACTGAAGGTGAACCTGTCTGGTTTATGTTGCTTTGTCATGAGAGATCGTGGATGTGTAAGCATGCAGATTCCATGGAGTCCACCAGGAAGTTTGCAGTGCAGATCAGATTGGCCTGGGAAGTGTTTAGAGCTTACAGCAATGGGTGCAATGGAAAAGCCTAAGATAGATCAAGATGTGCCTTTGTTTGTGTGTAAGTGTATGTTCACATCTGTGTGTGCAGCACTGCATGCACTAGTTTGCCTCTTGACAATTGTTTTGTTTTTTTGAAAAGGAAAGTCCCAGGCCAAAAACTTCATTAAGATATATGTGAGTGTGCATGTGTGGGCTTTTGTTTGCGTATTCCATTGGTTGCAGTATATATTCCTCAATGTGTTTGGATATCTATGTAAAGAGGTATAAACCTAAGTGAGAGCGTGCATGTGTTTAGGTCCGAGTCTGTGTGTGCGTGCGTGCGCGTGTGTATATGTACACGTACATGTGTGTGCATGAGTGTGCGTGCTTGAATGTGTGAGCATATGTATTTTTGTGTACACACAAATGTAAATGGTTTTTGAAGAGATGTGTGTATCTGAGTGTAGAAACATGTTATTTGAGTATATATTTGTATCTCAATGTGCAAGTCTGTTGGCCTGCTTATGGCTAGATGTGTATGTAGATATGAGAATATATGTGTACAGGCATGTTTATCTGCATGCCTTTGAATGAATGTACATATATGCATGTATATCTCAGTGTGTGTGTGTTTGTTAGCATGCCTCTGAGTCATGTGCACTGTAATGAAAAGGCACGCACATGTGAATCAGATCCTGAGGCTGCCATCTATATTGCTCAGCCCTTGCTCAGGCAACTTCTCAGTCTTCTCAGTGACACTGAAGTAAATTGAGCACCGATGCACACAACACTGAGTTTAGGCCTAATGCTCTGACTTGCACATAGGAACACATTTCAGCAAGCTCTCATTTGGTATAGAAACACAGGGAAACATTTCACAACACTGACTGTGCAAAACAGGCACAGGATCGATTTAAGATCTGGCATATCAGAAAATTTTGAGTGCTGATACTGTTTTTGCTAACTCATTTTTTTAATTGACTGACTTGCAACCCACTATGAGACTGCACTTTCAAAACTTGGTGTCTCAATTTCGACAAGAGTTGCACAGCTGAATTTCCTTTCACAACTCTGTTCCTAAATATATGGTGATTTCACTTGTTTTTTCCCCTCTGATAATGTAACAGCAGCTAAATTTGATTACTTATTTACCTTATGTTTTGATATTGAAAAAATAATTCCAAACTAGA